TTTTACTTATTTCGCGATTACGAAAGCATAGCGTCAATTTCTAATAAACCAGTTAAACGCGAAACGTGATAGTGTGTGCTATAGTGATATAGTGAGATACACGTGCATCATTATTTCACGTTTCTATTTTTTTTTTATCTAACAAAATGTCCAACGAAGTGTTAAAAATGACAAACATTTTCAATGCCTATATTCTTCTAGAAGATGGCAGTATTTTTCCGGGAAAACGATTCGGTGCCGAAATATCCGTTGACGGTGAAATCGTATTTCAGACCGGTATGGTGGGTTATCCCGAATCTTTAACTGATCCTTCTTACCATGCTCAAATTCTGACACTTACTTATCCATTAGTGGGTAACTATGGCATCTTTGGAGATGAAAAGGATGAATACGATATACCATATTGGTTTGAATCGGATCGAATTTGGGCAGCCGGTTTGATAGTCAGTGAAATTTGCGAAACGCCAAGTCATTGGCGTCAAACGAAAAAACTCTCCCAATGGTTGGAAGAACAAGGTGTACCTGGTATTTATGAGATCGATACAAGAGCCCTTACAAAGATAATTCGCGAAAAGGGTTCGATATTGGGTAGAATTGTTATAGGAGAACCCCCTTCTTGCAATATTTCACCTGTCGAACCGCCATTGTTAGATCCAAATAAAAGAAATCTCGTTGCCGAAGTTTCACGTGTCTCACCGAAAACGTACAATCCTAACGGATCACCCCGTATTTGCGTGGTTGATTGTGGACTAAAATACAATCAATTGAGACGATTGTTAAATCATGGGGCCCGAGTAGACGTTGTTCCATGGAATTATGATTTAAAAACRGCTGAATACGATGGCTTGTTTTTAACTAATGGACCCGGTGATCCAAACATGTGCAAGACGACCATCGAAAATCTTTCCAACGTTTTGGCGTGTCCGAATAAAAAACCTATTTTTGGTATATGCTTGGGACACCAGTTACTTTCGATAGCTGCTGGTTGTACTACTTATAAAATGAGTTATGGGAACCGTGGTCATAATCAACCAGCAACTCATCACGAAACTGGACGTTGCTGCATGACTTCTCAGAATCATGGATTTGCAGTAGATGCCAATAATTTACCTGCCAATTGGGAAATATTATTCACCAACACCAATGATAAGAGCAACGAAGGTATCGTTCATTCAACGTTACCATATATATCAGTACAGTTCCATCCGGAACACAGTGCTGGTCCGCAAGACCTTGAATGTCTTTTTGACGTCTTTTTAGAGACGGTAATAGACTATATGAATGGTCATCCGCAAATAACTGTCAAAGACAGGCTCAATAAAATATTGAAATGTGAAGCGTCGCAAAAAGTCGACAAATTTCATCCGAAAAAAGTTCTTATTTTGGGATCAGGAGGACTTAGCATTGGTCAAGCTGGTGAATTCGATTATTCTGGTTCACAAGCCATCAAAGCATTGCAAGAAGAATGCATCCAAACACTTCTAATAAATCCTAATATTGCAACAGTGCAAACTACCAAAGGGATGGCTGACAAAGTTTACTTTTTACCAATCATTCCGGATTACGTTGAACAAGTAATACGCTCGGAAAGACCCGATGGAGTGTTATTAACATTTGGTGGACAAACTGCATTAAACTGCGGAGTTGAATTAGAGAGAACCGGTGTATTCGCAAAATACAATGTTAAAATTTTAGGCACACCGATCGAATCTATCATACAAACGGAAGACCGAAAAATATTTGCCGAACGTATCGGTGAGATTCAAGAAAAAGTTGCACCGAGTGTAGCTGTATATTCCATAAAGGAGGCCTTAGACGCAGCTAAAATACTCGGTTATCCGGTTATGGCAAGAGCAGCGTTTTCTCTGGGTGGTCTCGGTTCAGGTTTCGCTAATACACAAGACGAATTAAAAACATTAGCGCAACAGGCGCTCTCCCAATCGAATCAACTTATCATAGATAAATCATTGAAGGGTTGGAAGGAAGTTGAATACGAAGTAGTACGAGATGCATACGACAATTGTATTGCAGTTTGCAACATGGAGAACATCGATCCGCTTGGAATTCACACTGGTGAATCAATTGTCGTTACACCTAGTCAAACTCTGTCGAATCGAGAATATAACATGCTTCGTACTACGGCCATCAAAGTGATCAGACATTTTGGAATAGTAGGAGAATGTAATATTCAATACGCTTTAAACCCAAATTCCGAAGAGTATTTCATTATTGAAGTTAATGCAAGATTATCGAGAAGTTCTGCTTTGGCTAGCAAAGCAACCGGTTATCCTCTTGCTTATGTAGCTGCCAAATTAGCACTGAGTTATCATTTACCGGATATTCATAATTCCGTAACTGGACGAACAACAGCTTGTTTCGAGCCTAGCTTGGATTATTGCGTTGTAAAAATTCCAAGATGGGATCTGAGCAAATTCCAACGAGTCAGCACAAAAATTGGTAGTTCTATGAAAAGCGTAGGCGAGGTAATGGCGATTGGTCGCAAATTTGAGGAAGCTTTCCAAAAAGCATTGAGAATGGTTGACGAAAATGTTAATGGTTTCGATCCGTATATCAAATCTGTCAACGACGAGGAATTGGAAAAACCTACGGACAAGAGAATTTTTGTTCTAGCTGCTTCCCTAAAAGCTGGATATTCTATGGATCGTCTCTACGAACTAACAAAAATAGATCGTTGGTTTCTGCAAAAAATGAAGAACATAATCGACCTATATTCGGTTTTGGAAAGAACCGATCATACAAAATTATCGCATGACATGCTGTTRCGTGCAAAACAAATTGGATTTTCCGATAAACAAATAGCCACTGTTATTAAGAGTTCTGAACTAGCAGTGCGTATACAAAGACAAGAAAGTAACATCAGACCTATGGTTAAA